GTATCGAGGAAATTATGTTCATCTATAAATTAGACGCAGCTTCATGTTTTCAAGACATCTTCCGGAATATGCGTCTGTGAAGGCGTTCAGATAATGACGATTTTGCACAGTTTTATTCATGAGATTCTTGTCAAAAGTAAGGTCGGATAATAGATCGATTTTATTCAGCAGTGTTGGCCCTGGGGCCTATAGTACGATTACAGTTTGATTAATTGCACGTGGTGCTAGTAACATATTAAGTTTCTATAGGTATTGAATGCATATTTCAGATAAAAGCTATGGTATTAATTACACAACATGTATATTGTTTGATGTTACAAGATTTGGCAATGTGCGTTCATACATTACAATTTTTGACAGACTTGGCAAATAATTAATAAATGATATTGATAGCATCTTCACGACTTGGCCATACAGTCATGACAATTTAAGGAGTGAAAAGTGAGCGATGGGTCTTGTGGGAATTCAAGGATTCATTAAGACTGTAGCCTTCTAAGCGTAACTCTGTGTGTAATATTTATACATTTTCTATCCACTGACAACATGCTTCTAATATTAATATTATTTTCATGGATTCATCATATTTTATCTAAAGCTGTGCTATAGTTTTTCATTAAAATGTCTTTTCTGTTGCTGGAATTGAAGTAAGTCCCACACAGAGCAGGGATCATATGTCTTTGAAATATAAATTATGCAAACGGCTAGAACCTTGTGTTCCAATACAAAACGTTCGTAACGCTACGACATTCGCATGATATGATAAACTATAGAGTTGGCCTCAACCATTGACTGGATTACATTCTTTTCGTCAGCAGAGAAATTTCGACTTCTCTTTTTCCTTGGGGTGCAGGCGACAGTATGCGTTTCCATTTTTGGTAAACCGGAAGTAAACAGAAAACGGAACTATGGGATATATGGAAGCTAACCAGTGACGTTAACCACACTGTTAAACTTTGACGGCGACGTTAGCTAACGGCATGACTAACCATGTTCTGAACAACGCATATTTAACGTTCGGTTACCTAACGGCCGGTTAAGGATTTAACCGGCCGTTAGGAGTTAACCGGCGGTTAAGGTAACCGAGTATTGAACAACCGGGACCAGATAGATAGTTAGTTAACCAACTAAGTACGTTTCCACGAACACCATCATTTTCTAATTTGTGCAATAAACCTTTATGCCATGCCCTGTAAAAAGCTTTTGAAATATCACAAAACAGCATACAGTAAAGGTGGTGATTATCTAGGACTGAAAATATATTATGATAAATGTCTATGTTGAGATGTAGTAGAATGACTAGCAGTAAAACCTGACTGGAATTTACTTAAAATGTTATGATCATGGAAATGGTCGTGCACATGCTTTACCATTATTATTGCAAGGATTTTCCAAAGGATAGGTAATATTAAACTAATAGGTCTGTAATTAGTTGGGAGGGATGCATTTCCTTCTTTCAAAATAGGAGTAACATTACCCGTTTTTTACAATGTAGGAAATACAGTCACTCAGTGATATATTATGCAACAAACAAAGAGGTTCAGCTATAGATGTACAAATTCGTTTTAACACTCTCATGTTAATATCATCAGGTCTACTAGATTTGTTTGCTGGTAAGGTCTTATCAGATACCTCCTTTTCGGTTACGATGACATTTGTTATACATTATATATACAAAATATTCATTTAATGTTTGAGCTTTATCCAAATCTGTAAAACCTGAAGGTATCCCAGAATCATCAGTGACAAGAAGGGGAATGGGTCCCGATGAAGTAGTAACCACCTGATTGAGTAGACTGAAGTGATAAATAGTTATCAAAAATAGATTAAAAGTTTCCCTTGGCTATTCTTTTCAGATTATTTACTTATTCCTTTGCTTTTTGTATTTAAATAGCTCAGAAGTATTCAGAGATCGAAATGTTTTTTTTCCTTAGACGTTCTCATTTCTTTTAAGTATGTTACGAGGGGCGTTGAAGAAGTAGTCAAACTAATTATATTCTCGATGTCGAATATTTGAAAAACAGCTTCCATTTTATTTTGAAGGAATCATTAGCAAAGTCATATCCAAAATTTCATGTGGGTAATGTGGTTAACGAGATATTAGTCATCACAACATTGGGGTATTATGTTTCTTGCAAATTTGCAGAAAATGGAAAACGATCTCCCATTTGGTATCTAGTAATAGTAATAGTCCGCTTATATGGCGCTCACATCCAGGCACATTGCCTGCTCACAGCGCTACGTACATTACTATCACCGATCATAGGACACTATCGTAGTTTCCGATACTTTTTCAACTACCTGGGGACTGTACAGCCATGCTGCCTGTTAGGCGCAATGAACTAAACACTCACATTGCCAGCACATACTCACGGGTACCCATTTTACAGCTGGGTGAACTTAGTGTAGTTAGTGTAGATCTAAGTATCTTGTCCAAGGATACTACGCAAATGTGCCCCATCTCGGGACCCGAACCTAGGTGCCTCCTCGAAACAGGCCCTTCAGCGTGATAGGCAGACGCCTTACAACTGCACTATTGCGCTATCTCTTGGATAATGGTATACCCTCAGATAGTATCATTTAAAATATGTTCAGCATAATATTGGATGACTTCCCGTCATCATCAACATTCAAAGATTTGGATTGCTTGATTTACATTTAGACGGGGACTGAGGACACCCTCATTTTAAATTTTCAAAAACATTGTGTCCAGATATACAACATATTGAGAGCTGACACTTGTGTGACCATTCAGTATTTAGTTTGAACCCTTGACACCATGTATGAATGAGTGAAAACTTTAGGATGAGTTAAATCCTTATGATGACGTCAACTGAAAGGGGGTGGGTAGTGTCTCCAAAACAAGCCCTTTTAGTAAACATGAAGGGGGAGTCACTTGAACAAGCGATTATAGTTTAAAATTGCTTTTTTGTGCAGTTTAATATCTAAGTTTGACTTTTACCAACATACAACATGTTTTTTGCATATTTTGTTTCAATTGGTGTAGGGGGATTCCCGCCAATACACCTTGATATAAAATTGGATCAAAATCTATTAATTCTTTCCTGAGTTCGCGGCTACCAAGCTTGGCATGTGCAAAACTGTTACACCTTCGCTGTGACCTTTAAAATGACCTCAAGGTCACAAAATTCAAGTGGTGTCGGTATATCTTGTCAATAAACCTTGGTACCAAATTTGAACAAAATCCATCATTTCTTTCTCGAGTTCTTTCAGTAAACCGAAGGGGGAGTCATTTGAAAAAGCGATTGTAGTTTCAAATTGCCTTTTTGTGCAGTTTAATATCTAAGTTTGATTCTAGCCGACCTCTACCAATCTCAAACATACAAAAATGTTTCTTGCATATTTTGTTTCCTGTAAGTTTAATTTGTGATGCATTTCATTGCTAGTCAGCTAGGCTATTCCATTTGTCCGAACCACAACATACGGAGACAGATCATTTAGCAGACCGGGTGCTGTACTCCTGTGTGATTACCTGAAAATGTCAGAAAATCGGAAAATATCAACAGTTTCCGATCGTGTCTCAAAACCATCCTCTTCAAACGAGCATTCAACTAAGCGCACTTGAGCGGGACTCTGGATATGTAGCGCTATACAAATGTCTAATTTGATTTTATTTGATTTGATATACCCGTTAGAAACCCATCCCCACCCCACCCTACTTTATATTTATACATATCAAAACCTCAAAAGATATTTGCGAAAAGACATGATACAGAGGACAGTTTATATCGATTATATATCAGGACGAATATTATTTTCGTCATTTGGTTAAGATTTGTCAATTCATTCTTGGGTTATCGAGCTATCAAATCTTTATATTGGCAAAACCCTCAGATTTTTGCTGTGACCTTGAAAATGATCTCAAGGTCACTCCATTTCACTTGTGTCGGTGAATCTCGCCAATATACCTTGGTACCAAATTTGAACAAAATCCATAATTTCTTTCTTGAGTTATCGCCCTAACAAGCTTATTTGATGTATGAAATGCAACGAAAAACAAACACCCGCGTATTTAGGAGTGATTAAAACTGTTATTACAATTTACGTAAATATTTATTACATTTTACCGCAACGAAAATTATTACAATTTACGTCAATTTTTATTACAATTTGCGTATTACAATTTACGTCAATTTTTATTACAATTTACGTCAAGTTTATTACAATTTGCTGCAAGTATTACAATTTGCGTTTTTATTTCAATTTACGTCGTAACAACCTATCCACTGAAATTTTGATGACAGGCATCCTAGAAATTAATAGTTTGTCTGTTTGCACAGCATGGGTTGCTGAAGACCAATTCTAACACGGATCTTCACAAGTTGAGATAAAATGAATAAGTGTTCTCTTACGTCGTAACCAGCAGTTGGCAAATCATGTGACAGCAGCCTTAATGTCTTCAGGGACAGGAAACCCTAGTCACGTGACCAACGATCTACTCACTCACTTTGACAAAAGAAATATGCACCATATCTCTCTCTAACACCACGAAATAACATCGAAATGAAACTTTTGTTGATGACGATAGGACCCGTGCATTGTACTCCTGATTTTGTATTCCCTAAAGTGAACCACAAAATATCGATTGAATACGCCAGGAACGACTACGTGACTATGTCAACGTTTCAAGCATATGTTTGCATTGATCACCTTCGCACCAATTGTACAACTATGGATTTCGACATAAAACGTTTCTGTTGCTTGCATGCATGGTTGCAGGAAAAGGCAGGTTTAAACAAACGTTTCGTAAGATGACGTAACATGTGCCTTACAGTTGCACCCGGACAGCTGAAAGGTATTGGTCCTCCAACGTTGAAATATTCATCACATCGATTCCTGATATAATGTCCAATTGTTAACAGATAATAACGTAATGATGCCAGACCACGTGACGTGGCTGTGTCATGGTAACGGGTGTTATTTAAAGGCGTGCGTGCTATTCCGAGGTGCAGTTCCTGCATAACATTCTGCATCAGTGTTTTCCGTTTGAATGATCAATGATGCTGAAGCTGATCGTTGCGTCTCTCCTGGGTGAGTTCAGTTGGAACCTATTCAGAATATTTATTATAATCACGAACTTGAGAAAAATAGCTCTTTCTTTCTTAAAATTGTAAACTATAATTGTTTTAAATAGATCTGCATGAATAATAAAACCGTTCTGACAATTTACAGATTATTTGCAGTTTATTGCTGCCGATTATTTTTAATAACAATTTTATCAATCGATCATATTTTACAAATTCTCATTTCACAATTTACATTTGTCTAAATAAAATTCACAGGGTTTTAATTTCAACCAGCTGTTGTCACCAATATTGTTGATTAAATGCTGTTATTTTTAACGTTGAGATGAGCACAGTTTTTCGACTGTGCATATGTGCGTTTGTGCGCGTGCGCACACTCTCTATTGCTCTTTCGTAAGGATTATTATTTGGAAAGACACGGCAGCGTGTAACAGGCTACAGTGAAATGAGACCCGTGAAGATCCGGGTTAAATTGATCTTCAGTAACCCATGCTTGTCGTAAGAGGCGACTTACGGGATCGGGTGGACAGGCTCGCTGACTTGGTTGACACATGTCATCGTATCCCAGTTGCGTAGATCGAAGATCATGATGTTGATCACTGGATTGTCAGGTTCAGAGTCGATTATTAAAGACAGCAGTCCTTATAGCTATGATATTGAGGAGTGCGGTGTTAAACAGCAAGTAAAACATAACCTCAAGTTATCCATCCTAATCCATATTAGAAAACATTAACTGTCTCTACATTCAATGTTTAATGAGAGACATCCTTTCCGGGCAAACATCGGATCGATGCTCATGCTGGATTCTCTGGTCCAGACTCGATTATTTACAGACATATAGCTGGAATATTGTTGAGTGCGGCGTAAAAAAACCCTCACTCACTCACTACAATGAAATGTAATGTGTTATGTCTCATCCATTCTGAAGTAAGGTCTTGTGAGTGATTACGCCTATTTCAGCTATACTCTCGCAATATCACGGCGGGGGACACCAGTAATTGGCGTCATACACTGTACCCATGTGGGGAATCGATCCCGGGTCTTCGGTGTGATGAGCGAACGCTTTAACAGGGTATGAAACTCCCAAACAATTCAGCCGACCACAGGGCTGGTTACATGTAAAACTTGCCAGCCCTGACCAATCTTACCTGCCCGCAAATAAATTAGGTTTCACATCCAATTTAGCTTATCATCCAATTGGAATTCATCATTTACTTTTACGAGTGAATTAATAACGATTTATTATCCTGAAATATGATATATATCTTCATATACATGTCTCAAATTCTAAATTTTAACCCGACCGTCGGGCAGGTGAATTTGAGCATCTGGCAGTCCGTGTTGAAAATAACCCGTCCCGGGCGGTTGGGCAGGCAGGTATTTCGAACGCTGGCTTTAACCACGAGGCTACCCCATTACGCAGACAGCCAGTTCGCAGACACCTTAAAACAACAACATTTACGGTTCAGTGAACAGATTATCTACTACCTGTTACCTTCACATTATAATGGAATAGTCTAAATAAAAACACAGGAACAAACTGAAGCTATATTATTTATTTTGAAAGATGGACGAAAAGACACTAATTTGAATTTTCATTGCTGCAATATAAAAAACAGTTTGTTTTCATAAACATTCCTGTTTAACCTTCTAGTCTAACGGGAGTCGGCATCATCATATTGAAAACATTAGCTTAGCTATTAGGAATTGCGACACTGTTCTATCATATAAATCAAATAAAGTCAAATGTGAACCTAAATATTATTCATATGGAATAAAGAAGTTATATGTTTTGCACACAATGTTAAGATATATGACGAGTGCACTTAATTACGATTTATTTAGAATAAATATTCAAAATATGACGCATCATGACAATGTGGCCATTACTTCCTTGAATGACCATTGTATACTACTCAAAGACATAAACTGTTACAATCTTTAGAAAGTATCGTTAAAATTAGAACACTGATTGGTATTATTCGTATCTTACATGGCAATGCAGGTGTCTCATTTACTGCAAATCAGAATGTTTTCAAAAATGTTCATATCTATATCTCTCCAACAAAACGTAACTTCTGTTTGTACATATGCTATTATTGGGAGGGGGCTTTTCTATCAATAAACACAATCAAACATCTCAGTGACAAACCTGTTTTTAAATTCGATAGTAATTGATAGTAAACTAAAATTTGAGAAGAGAAATCATTTATCATTTAATCACAACAAAGTTCTATTTACTCACAATCAAACTTCTCAGTAGCGAACCTGTTTCAGGCTCACCCTGCTCTACTCACTAGACAGCGGACTGTTCAATTGTACTCGTAGGTATTACCCTAATTAACCTTCTAGTTTAGTGTCTGTCAACTGGCTGTCTGTCAAATGGGTGTCTGTCAATTGGGAGATAACCCACCGTCCCTAACGTCTTGTGAGACGATACACAGCTGGGTAATAAATTGCTGAATCATCCGTGAATGGGAATTTCCGATACCAGCTTTGTGGATTGGGCTATGTATCAACGATCCAATTAAGCAAGGCAGATGGTATATGTATGACTGGGATGTAAGTCACCAATGCTATTGTTCTTAGCAAAAACGGAAGATTAATAGATTTGAAGTATAATAACTTTAATGGTTGCGTTTACCATATGCATACACTACTTGTGATTACAAACGTCCCGTGTCACGTGATAGCGACGCGGTTGTATCGTAAGAGTGGCGAGATAGAGGTGATATAGATACTCATTTCATCGCAAGCCAGAGAGACATTTGAACTTGGATTCGCATCCCGAAGTCATGTGTCTACTTTGTTTCACTAAACTGCTATACATCTACGTTAGTGAGTGAGTGAGTGGGTGAATAAGTTTAGTACGCCGCACTCGGCAATATTCCAGCGGGTTGTAAATAATCGAGTCTGGACCAGACAATCCAGTGACCATCAGCATGAGCATCGATCTACGCAATTGGGATACGATGACATGTGTCAACCAAGTTAGCAAGCCTGACCACCCGATCCCGTTAGTCGTCTCTTATGACAAACAGGGGTTACTGAAGATCCACCCGGATCTTCACATATCTATACGTCTAAGACCTGTATTGCCGCGTTCTATTTATTCGGTATTGATCTACGACGCCAGGATGAGACTGAAATACCTTTAAAACATTATCACACGCTCATTATCTACGCTACGTGTATTGCCTTGGTTCGTCATTGTGACACAATGATTTGTTAATTCAATAAACAACAATATTTCAAGTAACATTAAATGATGTTTGCCCTGCTCACAAACCCCTGGATCACAGGAAGTCCGCATTATTGTGTTCTCATACTGGAATGAATATGCTAACATAGCAACCAACTGTCTTGAAAACTGAAATCGATTTCTTTAAAACTATGCTTCAGATATTCATCATAAGTGGCCCGCTATAAAATGCAGTCCCCCATGCTTCAGTTATTCATCGACCGTCTACGTGGTGTAGTGGTTAGAGCGTCCGCCCGGAGAGCGGAAGGTCGCGGGTTCGATCCCCGACCGCATCATACCAAAAGACGTTAAAATATGGTACTTGTTGGTCCCTGCCTGGCGCTCGGCATTAATGGGTACAACAAGGACTGGTCGGCTCGGAGTCAGTATAATGTATCTGAGTGAGCGCATTCATACTTAACTGCGGTATGGTGGGCTAGCACTATTAAACCAGCTTAAGTCTGGGCTAGTACAAGCGGCCACACATACACATACACACGCATGCACGTCGTCATATGAGCGAAATATTCTCAAGCACGACGTAAAACCCAATTTCACCTCACCTCAGATATTCATCATAAGTGGCCCCTATTAAATGCAGTCCCCCATGCTTCAGCGAATGCACTAACTGCAGTCTGATAGAACGGGGAGGAACTATTACTTCTAATCGATTTAAGCATTCGATTGTTCATTGCAATATGTATTGATTATTCAGGCTTAATCTGCATTTTGTATGAGGGCTGAACCCAACGCGGACTGAACGTAAATGACTGAATTCAGTTTTTTAACATAACAAAGACCATGCCGGTTATGTTCAATACCTTCAATCACCACCCATGCATTCTTGTAGTGCCGAATTCAGATAAATTTATGTTTATTAGTCTGAATAGGCCCACATCGGCTTCTTCTTATCCTCAAATACTAGTAAGTACAGACATATTACACCCATTAGTTCTGTTTCTGTCGAACCAGAGTCACAATCTGTCTCATTTCTAATAAGGTCATCCAACAAACAAATAAAACCGCTTCTTCAACAGGTTTATATGGTTTAAAATATCAACCCCATACATGACTATATTGTTCATATTTTTTCCATTAGTTCTACTTCTGTCGAACCAAAGTTACACTCTTATGGAGTGTGAGAATGTTATTGTAAATACGAAACTAGGCTTTTGTGACCCTTCCACAAAGAACCAAGAAACCAACAAACGAACGAAAAACAACAATCCACTATACTTACCCTGCTTACCAGTCAATCTTGTGGTGTGTGAGAATGTTACCAAATTAGGCCTTCTATATCAATGCCTATAAGGGTCTATAACGGTTGAAATACCAAGCCTATTCTGATAAATTCGTATTTAAGTGCTGATTCTTCTTTATACGCCCACATCAGTTACCAAACTAGACTTTCTATATCAATGACTTTATAAGGTTCTATAACGGTTGAAATACCAAGCCTATTCTGATAAATTCGTATTTAAATGCTAATTTTTCTTAATAGGCCGACATCGGCTCAAACTCTCCTAAAATACAGGTACACGGATATTACGTCCATTTGTACTGCTTCTGTCGAACCACAGTCACAATCTTATGGTGTATGAGAATGTTAAAACACCAGGCCTTCTATATGAATGACTTTATGTGAGTGTCTATAATGGTTGAAATACCAAGCCTATACATAACTTTATTATCCATTGTTGTACTTGGTATTTCGTGAACGAAACGCGGCGACAATTTCACCTCTGAAACAATAAACACGATGAAAA